TGATAATGTGTTTGCAGAAGTAGCTGTAGCTATTGACGAGGAGGACAATAGACTCAAGAAAAAATGGTGTAGAGATTGGTTACACAAAAGGGATAGTCATGGAGCTTCTGTCGTTATGTTGAGAGAACTTGGTAAAGAAAGCGTATAACTTATGTGATTGACGCCTGAAATGTGATTGAATAGAAGCTGGACGATTTTTGTACATTAATGAATTAGATGATGTATCGATATTTATAAGGATGTTCGTTAGTTGATAGCGGACGTGTGTACGTGAGCTGCGGCGAAGATGAAGGTGAAGGCAGACACCGAGGTGAAGCAGAGGCTTTTGTACACGCCTGTAGACGATACTTAGAATACCTTGTATTTCAGTTTGCGCTTTGTAATTTAGTCATTGACACAACTACATATGTACCAAAACTAACATTGTCATTGTTGTTGCGATCCACTTCTGGATCATCGTTACGTAAATATTTTTGAACATTACAGAGTTCTGCAAAGGTTTCACGTAGCTGTTGTATATTTTGTCTTTTGGAATAATTTGCTTTCTTTAACGGCTGTGTGGATACTTGATCAGTTACCACGGACTGTGACGTTGATTAAGTGTCTTATAATTATTGTAAACTTAAGTCAGTTAGCTGTGATACCTCAGCTGTCAGTTAGCTCTTTACCTTTACTATTTTCTTCGGTTTGAGAAACCTGTAACAAAAACTAATAATATAACATTTGGTTAAGTTTAATTTGTCAAAGAAGAGTGAAAGACACATTGTGCTGGTTTTGAAAAAAAAAACTGGAATTTCCCCAACGGCTGCGGAGCTGTTGATGGCAAACATAATTGCAATTATTGGTCCGCCGCATTCTGGAAGTGAGTACTTCGAAAAAACTGTTGTAATTATGTGATCACAATTGTTCGTTATACATTAATATAGGCAGTAAAAGGGTCGAATCAGACGGTGGAATTTTTTAATACTGATTACTTTCAAACCACCTTCAGAACGTAATTTTGCTTGGTAGATGTTACTTTTTGGTTGATGATGCATTTCCATTAAATCCATATATTTTAAAACCTTACAAAGATTTTAAGAAGAGTGTTACTAAAAAAATTTAATTACCGCCTCAGCCGTGCGAGAAGAATTGTAGAAAACGCTTTTGGCATTCTCGTCAGCAGATTTCGTGTATTTGATAAAAAAATTGCTTAAAAATAAATACCGTAAACAAACTCCTGTTTGCTGCATGTGCTCTACACAATCGGTTGCATATAACATCGCTCACTAAATACATGCAACCGGGTTGTACTAATGTTGAAGACATTGAAACTGAAAACGGTGGGTCGGTGGAGGTTTAAGACAACGAAGGCGCTATTCCATGGCAATATAGGCAATTTAGTTCATCGTAAGAGTTCAAAATTGCAAAAAGTTACAGGGTGGTGCATATAAAAAAACAATAACTTTGATTAGTACTTTTTTGCATATCCCTGTACATTTTAGATTATTTTTACAGATTGCAATTTTGCATATTATCCATGTTTCTGTTCTGAAATTATTTTCCTTTCAGCTATAATAATAATAAGTCGTGAAACGCCCTGTGTAGCTATATAACTTAATATATTCAGTGTACCCATTAATTCCTTTGAATTTATAGTTGCGAATAAAAACTACTTTAAATATTTAACTTAAAATTTGTTTTATCCAAATTGTCAAAATTTTGCATAAAATTTTTATGATAGCAAACCATTTTACTGTAGGTACGTATATATCTTTCACGTCAGGTCCAGATTTATTAGATTTAATATGATTTGATCTTGATTTTTAGACGTTCCTGATTGTATGTACATACATCGCCGATTTTTTAATTTTTTATTTCAATTCTGCAATACCAAAGTGTTCTTTATGCATTTCTGTTACTATAGCTTCGTATGCAGTGATGAGATTGCTTTTATTGTTGTAATCAATGCAGGGAGCTTTGGACTCACGGAGTTTTGTTTATGCTCGACTACCTTACTATCACTATTTGTTTTCATTAGTTTATTGGAAGCAGAGTAGATGAGAAAGCAGTGGTGGGAGAATGCAAGTGGTAGAGTAACTATACCACCGTGCTATCCCACTCTACTCTACCGTAATCAAGTACTCTACTTTGCCATTTATGTTTACATTAGAATAGTTGACAGGATAGTTAGTACTCGCCCATTCTACTCTACCACTTACTCTACTAATAAAAACCCGCCTTTAGGCTCAATAAATAAATGACAGTAACAACGTCAGTCAAGAAATACCAGCACGAATTTTTAGCCTTAATAAGTACTTTAATGCATACAAAGACTTAATCAAAAGTAAGTAACTGAATCGTGAGTCTAATCTTATAATCTTCTTCTTCTTCTGCAGCCTTAAGTAATCCAACTTTGGACATAGGCCCCCAAATCAATCCATGGTCTTCTATTTTGCGCCACTTGCTTCCAGTTGTGTCCTCTGATTTTCTTAATATCATCCGCCTATCTCATTTGTGGTCTACCTCTGCTTCTCTTTCCTAACTATGGTTTCCATTGTTGTAGATCGTGGTTCAATCTCTTATCGTTCAGTCGGGCATTGTGTCCTGCAAAGCTCCATTTTAATTTGACAGCATGCTGTCCTGCTTCTTTTACTTTTGTTTTGCTTCTAATCCACTTGTTTGTTTTTTGTCTATAAGTCTCACTCCGAGCATTGATCTTTCCATCGCTCTTTATGCTTTTACTATTTTATCCGTATTAGACTTGGTGAGTGTCCACGTCTGTGAACCTTACGTGAGAATAGGGAGGATACACTGATCGTAAATTCTGGTTTTCAAATATTTTTTTATTTTAGTGCTTTTCAAGATCCAACTCAGTTTTTAAAATCCTGCCCACGCTAACCTCATTATTCTGGTAATTTCGGCAGTTTGATTTTCTTTGTTAACTTTCATTATCTGTCCCAGCTAGATGTATTCGCTTACTTTTTCTAAATTTATGTCGTTTAACGTTATTTCTCTAATGTTTGGTGTATTTGTCAGTATTTTTGTTTTTTCCAAGTTCATCTTAAGACCTACTTTTTCTGAAGCTTGAAATAGTTGCGTCATCATGGTCTGTAGTTCTTCGAAACTTGTAGCAAATATTACAATGTCATCATGACAAATGACTCAGTTTTCTTTCACTAACATTTATTCCTTTATCTGTTCAGTTAATGTCTTTAAATACGTCTTTCAGTCAAGTGTGAATGGATTTGGTGAGATAACATCTCCCTGGCGAACTCCTCTGTTGATTGGTATAGCTTTGGTTTTCGCATCTATTTGTATTTTCATTATATTCAACGTTAACCTGTTAATATTGTTCTGAAGCTATTTTCTTGTGGCATTTTAAATTACTTACTATTTAACTGGGAATAAGCCACAATTAAAGGTAAAAATACGTTTATTGACGTTTCAATTTCCACTTCGGAAATCGTTCTCAAAATACAAACAGTGTATTTAAACTGTTTGTATTTTGAGAACGATTTCTGAAGTGGAAATTGAAACGTCAATAAACGTATTTTTACCTTTAATTGTGGCTTATTCCCAGTTAAATAGTAACTAAGTTAACCTGTTAGTTATTACTCTCATAATCCTATAATCTGTAAAACAGTAATTGAGCCGTGGTACCATATGGATGTGAAACGTAGATCCTTTCAACCACTGATGAAAATCAATTGAGAATATTTGAGGGCAAAATATTAAAAAAGATATTTGGACCAATCTCAGATATCGTTAGATTTGTAAAGTCACAAAGACTAAACCCAGTTGGACACTTAAAAAGGAATAATTGAGCTAGTAATATACAGATATATAATATAAACAGATAATTGAGCTGTAAAATTATTTCAGAGATGGAAATCCCAAGAAAATATAACAAAAGGAAGGCCCCGTAATAGATTTATGGACGATGTAAAGGAAGATCTTAAAACCATGAACGTCAGGCAGTGGCGAAAGAAAGTATCAGACAGAGCAAAATAGAAAAACGTTGCTTAGACATACCTTAGTGTTATTAAATGCTACATTTGATGAGTCCATCTGCATGGAGTTGTAGCCTGACTTAGTGTTATTAAATGCTACATTTGATGAGTCCATCTGTATGGAGTTGTAGCCTGACTAATAAAATTAAATATCATGAGGCGGCTAGAAGCTTTTGAAATGTGGCTTTATTAGAATTCTTAAAATACCATCGACATAACACATAACTAATCGAACAACATTAAACATCATAAACAAATAATTAGAACTTTTAGAACGATTAAGAAAAGAAAGACTTCGTACCTAGGTCATAATATATTGAAATGATAACTAACCTGCTACGAACGACGGGAAGATAGAAGGCGAAAGTGGAGTAGGTAGAACAATGTCATGGCCTCGCAATATCAGAGCTTGGTCGGTCATGAACGTTGAACAGTTACTAAGAGCGGCGCAGAATAGAGAAGATTTTTGTGTAGTGATCTTAAAGCTCTAGGTATTAAGTGCACCAAAAGAATATAATTTTCAACGCGATATAAAAATGTATTTGCGGTTAGACAATATATTACAGCTATTATGTAATAAAAACTATTTTTGATAACGCTTATTCCACCATATATTTTAGTCATTTATTCTATATAAAAACTTGTTTACAACAAACATTTAAAAAAACATTTAAAATACTACTTCTATTTTTGCAAACAGAAAGTTATCCCATTAATGAAATTACAAATTACAGAAATTAATGAGAGACCAAAATAACTCATTGCAGAATATGAAATATTACGGGTTCACTGTTGATAACATATTAGTAAGCTTATAAATTCTAAAGGTCTATTGTACTTCGATTTAAATTACTCATATACCTCGTATACAATGCATTTTATCAAGTTACACACTAGATGCAACGTGACTTGATCGGTCACATGACCCAGAAAACCAATCGGTAGCTTTCTCAATTACAGGTCACGTTGCAATTGTCGTGGACGATAGGAAAATTTTAAGTTTTCGACGAATGTTGTGAAGAGAGCGGGTTAGTGAAATCCATCTTATAAAATTTTTGGTGGTCGGTCGTTAATTTTTAGTCTTTTATGGTGCTAAAAGTGTTTTAAACAGTTGTATTAGATCTTTCATATATTGGTAAGTAAGCGTAGTCAAGTTATAAACAAAAGTAACCTTAATGTTATTATGAAACCAATGGTTTTAAATCTATTAGCGTGTGGGAAAATTAAATAGCTCAAAGTACATTAGCAATATCTCATAAAATATTTTAAAGATTTTTGAGCACATTTTTTTCAATAGTTTATTATGCTACTTAAATTTTACGTAATATTAAAGCTTTAAAAATTTCATATAACACAGAATACCAAGATATATTTTAACCAATAAAAAATAATACAGAAATAAACTGTATAACGATAAGATTATTTTAATATAATATCGCTCTTTATTTTAGGCTTAAAAGAGTTTTTTTTATCGCTAATTTAATCAATGTAAGATTATTATTTATTTAATAGCTGCTTATACAATGTTATAGAATTAATAAACAAAATATTTCATGAAAAAAAAAACAATATATCCTTTTAACAAAACGAGTATGTGCCCATTTGGGAACAGTACGCAAAAAAATTGGATTGTTATAAAATCATCATAGATTATCGACCTATTTATATATAGATCTTCTTTTTCTTCCTCTTTATAAGCAATTCTGCTTATTCATTGGAGGATTAATACCTCTAAGGAACGTTGTCACTCCATCATTTGCACTTCTTCTGTCGATTGGTGATTTATCTCTTGCTATTTTGACGACACGGGTCTCCTCCATTCTGCTTATGTGGTTATTCCATTCATTTTGTCTATTTTGTGTCAATCCATTTATACACTGTACGTTAAATTTTCTTCTAATGTCTTCACTTCTCTTTAGGTCTCTCAGCGTATTTCCTGTAATTCTTCTCAGTACTCTTGTAACATTTTTTTATATAATTAAAATAATTATTTTTATTCCCTTTACTTCCATTGCTGATACGCCCATGATCGTGTTCGCAAATGGATTGTTAATTTTTATTGGAAACTGCGGAAATATTGCGAAAGAATCTACCTGTTTGTTTAATGACGCCGGTTTGGTTAATCTTTCATTAACCTCTTTCCGGTTTAGCGTCTATTCCCTTTGATGGATTTGTTGAATATCGTCGAACGCACGTCTATAGAAATTCTTCTGTAATGACATAATCTAAAAGATTCTATTTTCCTCACCTTTCTAGCTAGAAGGGTACCGTTATGTTCGATGTCGTTGATATCTTTTTATCTTCTTAGAAATACTACAGGCTGATCTGTCGTTTTTGAGGGGGAGATATCCCTTCTATTTTTGGTAGAAGTTTGTGAAAATTTTGAGGAACCAACTTCTCGTGTGGCGATCCTTCAGGGAGGACGCGTGCCTAGATTACCGTACCTTACCTCTCTCTGTGCATTTTCTTTCTAAGTGTGTATACACTTGTATATTTGAGTTTTTTTTGATCTAATATCATATTAGATTAGATATTGGTATAAAGTACCGTTTAATTTTAAATAACTTCAGTGCTTGATACAAGTAAAGCATTATAGTAAAGTGAATTAGTGCAGCATTCATCAGGAATTACTGTAAGTTATCATAATCATAGTATCTCCACTTGTCTGGGCGAATAATATTATGGTATGGTATCATATTATCTTCAATCATCTGGGCGAATCTAAGTTCATCCATGTCTTCACCTGTAGTTGAGATTAACTACTGATTTTTGAATTCAATTTAAAGAACATTCAATACTTTCTTCCGAACTTTCCATCAGCTACTAAGAAATTCTAATAAATAATAAATACGAACATTTAGTTCTCAATCAATCATTAAATAAGAGTGCGAACAGATAATCGAGTTAACCAAGTGCGGTTTGGTTAAATTTTTATTTCGGTAATATTTTTGTATTCTTTGAATTTAACTTTAATTAATTTTGTGTGCTTTGTTATTCATTTTTTAAATTTTTTATTTACTATACCCAGTATCTCGAGATATGCCCATTAAACAGCAAAGAGAGACTTTCTTTGATCAACTTTGGTTGAATTTTTTGTCTTACTCACTATCAGGCTCTCTTCGCTGATAATTGAATATGTGCATTATTATATTGTTGTATTTGTAAAGGTACTTATTATTTATATTACTGCTTATTTTTATATGTATACAACCATTGATCAATTGATCAATGACCCATTCCCGGTTCCAAAAGCTAGTTTCGAACCCACGACTCGCTCTCCACCAACCATCTGGCTGCCGTCCGCAGTGTCTATATTGGTGACCTTTCTAACACTATCTAAAAAAAGGTTTCCGAGATTACACTCTCATCTCTGAAGTTTCTAGTAGCCTTTGCATTGTAGCTGTGTCGGGTCTGGTTTCTGAAGCATATGTCATTATTGCTGTTACATTGGCTTTATAAATTCTTGACTTCATCTCAGTGCCAATGTGTCTGTTTCGCCATATAGTGTTATTAAGGCATTTTCTACTTGATCTCTCACTTCTTTGTCCAGGTCTCCATAGCTAGACAGTGTAATTCCCAGGTATTTTATTTCCATCACTTATTCAATACTGATGTAATCAATTTCTATTTTACATCTGGCTGGTTCCTTACTGACTACTATTGTTTTAGTTTTCTGAGATGAGATAGTCATATCTTCTCCTCTTATGTTAAATCTGTGGACCAGTCTTTGCAGGCTATCTTCGTCTTGGGCTATCAATATTGCGTCGTCTGCGTAGCAGAGTATTTTGATTTCTTTGTTTCCCATTCTGTATCCTCTTCGTTTGTTAACGATTTTGATGATTTCATCCATGATCAAATTAAAGAGAATGGAGCTCAATGAATCCCCGTGTCTTATTTCGCTGTCTATTTCTATAGGTTCTGTAAATTGTCCATCTATTCTGACTTCCATTTTGTTGTTTTGGTAGATGTTATCGATAGTTTTTATAATATTTAGGGAAACTTCTTTATTATACAGGAGATGTATTACATCTTTGAGTCGTACTCTGTCAAACGCTTTTTTTAGGTCAATCAGACACAGCAATGCTGGTCTATGATACTCAGAGATTTCTCAGTAATTTGCTTTATAACGAATATTGCATCTGTACACGATCTTGCACTACGAAAACCCTGTTGTTTATTTGCCAAACTTATCCTCTGTTATTAGCACTTGTAAAATTTTAGTTGTAAGTTTTAGCGTAGTATTTAACAAGTTTATAAGCTCGGTTTCATCGTTCTTGGCGTGTGCCTGAAATAAGCTACTACGGAATTTTTAATATTCGTCTCTCTTTGATACACAGATGCGTAATTCAATTATGCGAGTCACGTTCGTCATGGTAAAGTGCGATGAGAAGGGAATGAAGAGACCACTCACGTCTCCCAGTATTGTAGCAATAACACCGATGCGTTTGGCCGATATGGTGTCGGTGATAAGTTCGGCCTCTTTACGAATACAGATAACTGCCACTGGAGGAGGTAAACGGATCGAGCTTAGACAAGGAAAGATAGATGAAATAACTTATTGCAAGTGTTTTTACACGCACACGCCAAGAAAGATGAAAACGTCTATACATTTGTAGTTTTCTGGCTGTTTTTCATCTCCTTTTTTGAATAATAGAATTAGTTCGCCCGTTCTCCATTCTTCCGTTGTTTTATTGTGTTTTATAATTTTATTAATCAATGTTGTTAATTGTTCGGTCACAATTGAATTGTGCTGATCCACAATATTTCAGTAAGTCGTTTGGTATCCCGTCTTTACCTGCTGATTTTCTGTTCTTCAGGTTTCCAAGAATTTTTCGAACTTTCTGTACTTTGTGGTAATTTCTGGTGTTTCCAGTTCTAGCGTAGTTTGTTCTTCCTCTGCATATAGCTTTTTTTAGATAGGTATCCTTTTGTATGTGTTTTGGTTCTATTAGTTCTTTTACCTCCGTTCTTTGACCTCTTATGAAGCGCCATATTTCCTTTTGCAAACCGCAGAAATCATGTTCCATTTCTTTCGAAAAGCATTCCCAATGATCATTTTTTATTTTTCTTACAAGTTCATGTGTTTCTTTTTTAATTGTCTTATAATTATGGGATGCCTCTTGTGTTTGGGTTGACCTGTATTTCAGCAGGTAAGTTGTTTTCTTTTCTGTACATTTTCCTTCACTTCGGTACAAAACCGTGGAGTTCTTTGCCTTGGGAATAATTTATTTTCATTTATATTTCTTTCACCAAGAATTTCCTTGGCCTAGGCTAACATATTAGACTTAGTTTTTACCCAGCTTTCTTCGACTCTATCACTTTCTGTTATATATGTATTTCTGCTTTTTTCGGTTATTGTGTTTAGTGTATTTTTACGCTTGACACCGTTGACAGTTTTTTAATATTTCGATTTTTTTATATACATAATTTTTTACAAATACAGATATTTTAAATGCAACGGCTCATACTGTACAAGTATTTGCAATCTTTATGAACTCAAGAGATGTCATACTTTAAAAATATATATTTTTACATCAGTTTATAGGCAACAAATAGTTATGGAATGTTGTACAGTATTTAAATATCGGTTCAAATAGTTTCGTGAATTAACATAACCTATTTATTGTGTATACAATGAAAGATACTGTATTTGCGATGTAACGCGAACCAATAGTATTTTTGATTGGTATTCTGTAAAAAATATATAAGATTTATCTATAACTTCATCATCCAGTCTCAAAAGTCCACTGCTGAACATAGGCCTCTTCCTCGTGTTTCCAATTCCGTATATTGCGCCACTCTCATCCAGTTTTTATTTTTCCTTCTTAAATTGTCAGCCCATCGTGTAGGTGGTCGACCGATGCTTTTCTTGTCTTCCCTTGGTCTCTATTCCGATAACCTCTTTGTCCATCGCCTATTCGTGCTATGTGTCCTGCCCATCTGCATTTTTTTTTTCAGCTATCCTTTCGATGACTTCAGTCGCCTTGGTTCTTCTCCTGACCTCTTCGTTTTTTATTTTATCATTTGTCCTTCCATCTGTCTCCTTTGGTCTATAAGGGTTTTAGTGGGTTGACTTGGTTATTCATCCTTTTTGTTTTCATTCATCAATTCACTGAAGAGTTCTCCTCCACTTCT